TAAAATATTGGCAATATCAATAACAAGAATCGGTTTCTATTTTGATTTTTTTTCTTTACTCAAAAAAAAAATATTTGATGCAAACAAACATCTGAATGTTATTAATTTATATTCATCTTCACACACATAGAAAAGTACATGTGTTTGTTTTTATATCTGCATCTGCGTATGCATATATTTAGGGATAGACGTGGAAAACAAAAAAATAAGTTCACTCGAAGATATCAATTTCTGTCTGTAAATGCCTTTGTGATATGAAATATTTTGACATTTTTGTGGAATCTCTATTTGGAAATGCTTGACCATTTCTTAGATTAAACAGCTCAAGCTCATTCTATATATGAAAAAGCTGGTGAACCAGAAGTTGGTTCTGATTGGAATATAAAGACCTATGCACTAAGATAGGAGAGCCTTACACTATAAAAAGAGTTGTAGCTGATGAATAGTCAGTATATGATTGGTAGCAACTGGGTTGCCAATGAAAAAGGGGTATTGATGTTGTAAGACTTGAAACCCCTAATGATCCTCATCTAAAAACATCTCTGATGATTTGTGCCAGAGAACTGAAAAGATGTCCTTCATGAAATGCATGAAAAGCTGAGAGATTAGAATGATTGCTTTCTGACTATAAGACCATGATCAATTTGTCAGTGTGGTATGGATTAAACCCCTTTATACATATTCTGTTTTTAAGTAAGTTCAGCTCAGTCACACTCTATACTAAATTGAATTGAGCTTCAGATATTATACCTGTGTTCATCTTATTACAGTCAGGAAGGCGAATTCTTGATGTTATTGGTCTAGGAAGACAGTTCCAGCATGTGGTAACTTTGGAATGTGCCTAAAATATTCCTTGTGAGTGAAATTGTGTAGACAGAAATGTTTGGAGGCTGTTGATGGTTGCGTTAGCACAAAGTCACAAGTTATTGTGACAGAGGATTTGAGTATACTGGCATTGTTCAAATGGATGATCATGACAAATGGTGAACTCTCTTCCAGAAACTGTAACTAAGGTCTGCTCAGTATAGTTTCAGTATTAACCATAGTGTGTTGAACAAGCACAAATGTGCCTGAGTATGCATCTGTGACAGGGACTGATTAGTAGATTCGTGTACTCAGAAAATGTGCGTAGCTAGCCATTTATTTATATATATATATATATATATATATATTTAAAAGATATTTTTTGTAGGTACAAAATTTAATGATCGAAATAAAAAGTGTAAAAAATTTAATATTACAAGATATATTAAAACAATATTAAATAATAAAAAAAAAAAACATTCAAGTTGTACCTTTCTCTGTTTTAATTTTGAATCTCATGGAAGTTTGATGAGCGAGAGCGAAACCGGTTAAAACAGCCCCTTTGTTGTTGAGTGTTTTTTTTATTATTTAATATTGTTTTAATATGTCTTGTAATATTAAATTTTTACACTTTTATTTCGATTATATATATATATTTCATACATGTTTGGTTGAATAATACTGTTCTGTCTATCCAATTTTTTATTAACTCTTCCAAATTTATGAATTAGTTTTTTTTATGTAATCGGTAAATTTACCAAATTCTTTTTTTTTTTACTTGAGTACTTCGAAATATTACTACATTTACTGTCTATGATTTCATTTTGGTAAATTCCAGTGTTCCCTTATTTGTTGGAATCAATTTCAAGTTACTCAAGGTGACATCATTTCTAACAGTGAAACTGAACTTTTACATGTATTCTAATTTTCTTTTTTTTTTTTTTATACACATGTCAATATATATTCATCTATGGAGAAACATATTATTTAATATTGGCTGATTTGCTTGTATTACAACAGCTTGAAATTGATTCCCCAAACATGAGAATGCTGGTATTAGCTAAAAACACTTAAAATTTATCAATTATATAAACATTCAGAAATTTGAAAAAATTAATAAACAATTGGATAGACAGAATTTTTTCAATATAATTCAACCAAATATGTTTGAAAAAATCCTTGCCACCTCAATACATCTTATATATATGTGTGTGTGTATATATATATATATATATTATATATATATATATACCCAAGTATATGATTGGTATATATGGAATGAATTCCAATAACCAACAAATACTATTCTTAAGAGTGCTCAATACAAAGTACAGCAGATATAATTCTTTATTTAAAAAAATTTATAACATAAATATGTTATAAAATCACTACAAAAATAGCCATTTTGTTTCAACACTCTCAGTGTCTTATCAAGTGATGATGTTGAATGTAAAATAAATGGTTTTAAAAGTTTCGAATTAATTAACAATCCTTCACAAGGGGAAAACGTTGTTACAAAAGCAAGATGGATCAAACAAAATACAAGTATAGGAAAATTCAAAAAGCTTGACAATGAAGTCATGTTATAATAGCTACATATGCAAACTATTTTAACAAATATCTTTGATTAATTAACAAGAACCCATGTACTAGGGATAAATTTTTCTTGCACTGATGAGACAACTATTTATCCCTCTCTTAATAGTAATTCGGTTCAGTTTGATAAGGTTATATTGAAAACCAATCTTAATAATAATTTATATTCTGTTGTTAACTGGGGCAAGCAATGGCTTGATAATTTTAGAACTTCCAAAATGAAACTGCTTGCTATTAATCATCTAAGAGAATACTTTCTGCCTTCTATCAGCATGACTGATGCTAACCTCCGTGGAAAGATGACATTGAATCAATTGCTAGGTCTACTGCTAGATAAGTTGGTTCACTGTTTTGTGCTAGACAATTTTTCTGACCCAAATCTATTTTACATATTGTTGTGTATGATACACCTAATTTACATAAGTGGAGTACCGACCATATAAATATGGGTTGGTACCGGAAGACGACGGAAGATTAAGAGATCGAATCCAGAGACTCTGCCCGACTGCGACTTAGTCAACCCATTCTGCAGGAACAGTCTTCCCAAGAATATACCAAAACTACCTGTAAATATTGTGTACCTTTTTTCATTGTTTCAATACATTTTGTTACGTACATTTTGTGTTGTATTATTATTATTCCATGCTTATTCAAGCTTCAACACATATGTACAATTCTACCATTTGTCAATGATTTGAATATTGCTGCCATATATAGTCTGGTGCTCTTGCCATATATTTAGAGATCCTTGATAAAATCCAAAGACGAATCTGCAATGTCATTGGTACTGACCATTATTTTTTTTTTTTGTTTTTTTAATCATTTTACCCCAAGGAATGAAATAAAAACACAAGGGGTTACTGAGTGTGAAATAATAAAAAAGAAAAAAATTACTAATGAGTGTGAGCAATAAAAGAGAAATCAAGAAGACAATAGATAATGATTGATATTGTATCTTTTTGAAGATCAAAGTTGGTTGCAAAGAAGTAAGCCAGAAGAGAGTTCCACAATTGAGAAAAGAAACTGTTAGCATAGAATTTACCATTACACCTGGCCAATTCAACTATAAAATGATGAGACCTTGTTAGCAATCTAGTACTGTGCTTAAAAATATAAAGTCTAGATAACATAGAGGAAATTTCATTAGAACAATTGAAAGTATTTATAGAAAAAGCACAGCAAAATTGCATTAAAGCAAGGGAAAAATGACTGATGCTAGGATGCCAGGTCAGGACCAATAACATTGCAGATTCTTCTTGGGATTTTATCAAGAATCTCTAAATATATAGCAAGAGTACCAGACTATATGCAGCAGAAAATATTCAAAGCATAGATGCATGGTAAACTTATAAATATGTAAGATAGATTCCAGAGGGAATTCGTTTCCTAGCCCTGAAATTATTATCAATGATCAAATATTATCAGTTGAATTGATATCTAGACTATGGCCAGAAACCTATAATTTGCAGTGGATTTGAAATTTTATAGTTATGACCTGATTATTGGGGATTAATAGGTTGAAACTGGATAAGGGATCAATAAGTATGAAACCTAACACATAGTTATTATATAAATTTTTATCTGAAATTTTCAATGTGATATACATGATAAATATGTATTGTAAAATTAAGCATGTTGAAAAAAATTTGTTATATAAAATAAACGCTTTTTCATTATTAGGTTTATTGATGAACTGACATATTTATAAAGAAGAAATATTCACAAAAAGAAATTGTTAAGATGAAAAGATAGAATTGGAGAAAAATAGTTACTTAAAAGGAAGAAATAAACAAATGAAAAGATAAAATAAAAATACAGAGGAAGAAAGAAAAGATAGAATCACAGGAAATGAAAGAAAAAAGAGAGAGAGAAAAAAAGATAGAGAGAAAAAAGGAAACATATGTGGTGAATATGAAATAAAAATAACTCTCTTTTCTCCACTGTTTTCTAAATTCGTGAGCCTATGTGAAAATTTATTTTAACCAATAGAAAATGGGATTGACTTCTTGGCTGAAGAAAATACCAAGGCAAAGTTCAATGAGCCTATGTGAAAATTTATTTTGACTAATGAAAAAGGGAGTGTCTTACAAACTGAGTAAAAAATAACAAGCCAATGTGAAATCACTTTTTGATATAAATAGGCAGAGAAAGTTGAATCAAGGGAGAGAGAGAGGAGAAAGAAGCAGGTGGCAAAAAATCCAGAGTTCCACACATCTGAATAATACCAGTGTCAAATTACATGCTGATACATTATCAGCCGCTAATGAGAGAAGGGCTATTTCAAAGAACTCTATTCAACTCCAAAGTTAAGTAACTTAAAATGTATCTTTTCATTCATGTTGAATACAAGTGTATAACTTTTATGTGAAAAATGAACTCAATTTGTTTTAAACATTTTGGAATATTACTCTGTGTCTGATGATTTAACATGAGCATTTTCTCTTCTTGACAATTCATCGAAACTACAAACTTTAAATATTTGATTCCTTTTCCTGAAACAAGCGACTGACAAATTCAAATGTATAAATTGGTAAATAAATTCCTTATCTTGTTTTGTTAAATATAACACGTGTGTTTCCATGTCATTATTCCTCAAAACTTCACATAGAATGAAAGAAAATGAAAGAAAAAAGAAAAGATAGAATGATAGAAAAAAGAAAAGATAGAATCGCAGGAAATGATAGAAAAAAGAAAAGATAGAATCGCAGGAAATGAAAGAAAAAAGAAAAGATAGAATGATAGAAAAAAGAAAAGATAGAATCACAGGAAATGAAAGAAAAAAGAAAAGATAGAATGAACGCTAGAAAGGGAGATAAGAAAAGATAGAATCGCAGGAAATGAAAGAAAAATGAAAAGATAGAATGAAGGAAATGAAAGAAAATGAAAAAAAGAATGATAGAAAAAAAAAAAAGATAGAGAAAGGAAAATAGAAAAAAGAAAAGATAGAATCGCAGGAAATGAAAGAAAAAAAGAAAAGATAGAATGATAGAAAAAAAAAAGATAGAATCGCAGGAAATGAAAGAAAAAGAAATAGAATGAAAAAGAAAGGGAGATAAGAAAAGATAGAATCGCAGGAAATGAAAGAAAAATGAAAAGATAGAATGAACGCTAGAAAAGAAAAGAAAGATAGAATCGCAGGAAATGAAAGAAAAAGAAAAGATAGAATGAGGAAATGAAAGAAAAATGAAAAGATAGAATGATAGAAAAAGAAAAGATAGAATCGCAGGAAATGAAAAAAAAAAAAGATAGAAAAAATGATAGAAAAAAAAAGATAGAATCGGGAAATGATAGAAAAAAGAAAAGATAGAATCGCAGGAAATGATAGAAAAAAGAAAAGATAGAATCGCAGGAAATGAAAGAAAAATGAAAAGATAGAATGATAGAAAAAAAAAAAGATAGAATCGCAGGAAATGAAAGAAAAAGAAAAGATAGAATGAACGCTAGAAAATGATAGAAAAAAAAAAAAGATAGAATCGCAGGAAATGAAAGAAAAAAGAAAAGATAGAATGAACGCTAGAAATGAGAAAAAAAAATAGAATAGAATGAAAGAAAAAAAGAAAAGATAGAATCGCAGGAAATGAAAGAAAAATGAAAAGATAGAATGATAGAAAAAAGAAAAGATAGAATCGCAGGAAATGATAGAAAAAAGAAAAGATAGAATCGCAGGAAATGATAGAAAAAAGAAAAGATAGAATCGCAGGAAATGAAAGAAAAATGAAAAGATAGAATGATAGAAAAAAGAAAAGATAGAATCGCAGGAAATGAAAGAAAAATGAAAAGATAGAATGATAGAAAAAAGAAAAGATAGAATCGCAGGAAATGAAAGAAAAAAGAAAAGATAGAATGAACGCTAGAAAGGGAGATAAGAAAAGATAGAATCGCAGGAAATGAAAGAAAAAAGAAAAGATAGAATCGCAGGAAATGAAAGAAAAATGAAAAGATAGAATGATAGAAAAAAGAAAAGATAGAATCGCAGGAAATGATAGAAAAAAGAAAAGATAGAATCGCAGGAAATGATAGAAAAAAGAAAAGATAGAATCGCAGGAAATGAAAGAAAAAAAAAAAAGATAGAATGATAGAAAAAAGAAAAGAAAATCGAAAAATGATAGAAAAATAAAAAAAAGAAAGGAAATAAAGAAAAAATGAAAAGATAGAATGATAGAAAAAAAAGAAAAGATAGAATCGCAGGAAATGAAAGAAAAAAGAAAAGATAGAATGAACGCTAGAAAGGGAGATAAGAAAATACAGAATCAGAGAAAATGAAAAAAAAAAAAGGTAAAGAATGAATGATAGAAAGAGAAAAAAGGATCACAGAAAATGAAAGAAAAATGAAAAGATAGAATGAATGAAATGAAAAGGAAATAAAAATTGAGAGAGATAAAAATAAAGAAAGTAAGAAAAATAGAATGAGAGACACACAAGAAAGAAAACAATAATTAGATAGAAAAATGAAAGAAAGGAAAAAAATATTTGAAAGCAACACGTAAATTTATTTTTAAAAACACAAAAAAAAAATTAAATGCAAAAGAAATTTTAAAATATCTAAATTTAAAACAACAGTAAAAACTTGCTGAATTTGCAAGTGAATAATTTCTTGATTTTTATGTCCACCTCCTCCACAACTGCCCTTTTTTTCAAGTTTTAGTTTGCAGTGTAGACATGTGCCTTAACAACTACAACAATGATAAGGACAAGTGATTAAAAAATACCATCTGCTTTGTCATAATTTATTCATAAAAACAATTTCTGTTTGGTATGCTACTTTTATTTTTACTCATTCAAATTACTTAACTATTTTTTCACATGAATAATTAAAAATATCCATTATTTTATACATCAATATTTTCTAAGTTTGTCAATTTAATTATTTTATGATCTGTTTTTTATTCTCAGACATAGAGGCATCATTAGTAATATTGGTTGGTAATTATACTGTTTAGCACCTTTTGTCAGAGGAAGCTACTATTCCTTTCTGTAGGTCAGTTCTTAGCAAACTGACCTAGTAGATTATTACTACTACAGTGAGTTCAGTCCCCACTAAGTGTCATATACATGAAAGTTATGATTGAGAAACTAGTTAACATACACTTTTGTCCTTATACCCCAAAACCTTATTAAATAAGTACCTATACTTTCGATATTATCATTAACTTACTGGAGAGCAATGGTTAACAAACTAGTCTCACAGATAATTTCCTACAGTAGAGCATCTGAACTTCAATGGGTTCTTCACACTTGTGACCTTGAACCAAACTAATCTGAACCTAATAAATAATTGCTGGCTATTCATTCCTTGGTACAATCATCTGCTAATCCCTGTTTCAGGTGTCTGCTCAGACACAATTCTTTCTTGAACACCCACAGAGCCAAGCTGTGGTTTATACTGCAACTAAGGTCCTTTCAGCCTATTATACTGTGTGGACATTAGTTGCAGTTTTTGGGAGAGATTTTATAATCTAGAATTGAATAAGGCTAGAATCCTCAAATCCTCATTCATAATGACTTGTGATTTTGTGTTAACACAACAATTGACAGTTTCTGAATGGATTTTGTCTATTCAATTTCATTGACATAGCTTGGATCAATTCAAAATGTTGCATGCTGGGATTGACTCTTGAGGCTAATATTATCAAGAAATATAACTATTCAACCATTGTATGATTTGAACCCAGGTTGGAACACGAACACTCTAACCACTCAGCCATGTGCTCATAAGCTTAGCAAATACTTGTTTATTTTACCTCCAAACCACAAGTCATTACTTTTCTTTTGGTAAGAGAACTAAAGAATATTTAAAACTTTTTTTAGTTTTTTTTAAATATGAATTTATTAGAAATTCCATCTTTTATTAGTGTTTATTTCTCTTGAGTTTTTTTTTGTTTTTGTTTGTTTGTTTTTTCAGTTCCATTTTCATTTAAATTTAAACATAAAAATTTTAAAATGGAAGCCTCCTTCACCTTAAAAGATCAAAATGTCCCTGTTTAAAAGAAGAAATAAATAAAAGCATGCCAGGAAAGATTAAAAAAAAAAGAAAGTGACAGGTCTTTTAAGTGACCTTTAACAAATTGAGTTATTTGAACTTTAGCCCTTGACCTTAGAGAAATGAAACATTTGCCATTGCATTGTAATGAGCCCCACCTTATCCAACATCTCTTTGATAAACTACCTCCTGTGATTCTCCCCTTTACCATTTCAAATTGTGAAATTAATGCACTCAGAATTTTCAAGTAATTGACTTCTCCCATGTTTAGTCCCCTAGCCTCTTAAAATCTCTTTATTTATTTTCATTTTTTCCTTAATCAGCTTTGTGGTGAGGATGATGTGGTAAAGTTGTTTTGAAATGTTGAAGGGTGAAAAGAGGAAGATGAGGAGAATGCAGGGTGGGGGTAAGGGTGATGGAAAGGTGGTGCAGAATAAAGGAAGATATTTAACTAACTGTCTATCTTTCATTTCATACAGACATCTCTCGATTACATTTAAACCACTCACCTTTTATCAGAATTTTTTCTAAACCTATCAAATCTTATTTCTTGCAGACATCTCCAATTTCATTCGAACCATTCACCATTTACAAAGATTTCTGTCATGTACTATCAATTTCTTGTTTCTTGCAGACATCTCTGGGTTCATTCAAACAGTTTGCTAACAACAGTTCTACAAAAAGTCATGTTAGCTTCTTCTATAGCAAAAGGATCCAAATTTCTGATACACTTTTGAATTATTTTAAACATATGTCACAATTGGAAGTAATTTCCTGAAGGTGTTTCATAAGTTCAACATCAGGAACTCCTGCATCTTTCAGGAGAGTACTCATTTTCTCATAACTTGGATGACTAAATTGCTTGTAAAGTTTTTCTGCTACTTTTCTTTTTTCTTTTATTATCCTTATTTCTAATCAGAAAAATACTTTTCTGAGACCTGGAGTGGTAAGAGGAATGTAATAATGCCCAGAGTTAGTGCAGAAGTTGTAACTTTTCACCAAGCAAGGACACACTATCATTTTTAAAATTCAGAACAGTATTAGCTTTCTTCATCTTTGCTCAATAAAAGAGGTATTTCAAACTCTGTCTATACTTCTGAGATGAGGTATTATGTACACTATTTACATTATTCGGAATATTGTCTGAATCATTGTCGCCATATTTATTACAACGTTTTGGTCGTTGTATGCTCATATTGCAATTTTTGGTTGAGATCATAGACAAAGAACACTATTGGAAAATTCGGAAACTTAAGGAATCTGCACATATGCTAGTCCACAAAAATCTCCTGAGCTAACCAAGCATAGAAATGAATACAATATAGGAACCAGTAATAAGGAGTGCCAGAGAAAAGTGATAATGATAGCAGCAAAAATTGCAATATGAGCACTGGTGAAAATGGTTGTTGAAGACATTAGGTTTATAATACCCAGAAATTCATACCCAGATGTCCTCAGGGACACATGTCACAGTGGTTAAAGCCGTTGGTTAGATCCAGTGACAGGTTCCAAAGAGTGTGAGTTCAATACTCAGTTAAGGCAGTGGAGAACTTGGGGAGGGGAATTAACAGGAGATAAGTGATAACTGACATCCATTAAACATGGCACGTGGAACTAGAACAGTCTACCCCAGTGAGCAAAATAAAGGGTTCAGTTCGACATTCCAACCACCTGAAAAATGCCGGAGCATACAACGGCCAAAACGTTGTAATAAATATGGTGACAATGATGAGGACAATAGTCCGAATAATGTAAATAGTGTATTTCAAACTATACTACATCAGCACTAATTTCACTATTTTTTCCTGATAATATACAGGGTAAATTCACTTTGCCTACACTTGAAATCCATGTTCAATCTCCAAATTTAAATGGAGCTTCACTATCCTCTGCTTTCATGTTTCATTTAACTTTTTCTGGAAAAGTTTCTAGGTAACAATTATACCAAGTCAGGAAACACACAGTCATCTGCAAAAAAACAAAATATTGATAATATATATATCAATGTTGTGTTTCTTGCAGACATTGTTGATTCAATTTAAACCATTTTCTTTACGACATTTCTCTCTTATACTATCAATTTATTCAACAGAATTAAAGAAAAACTTATAAAATAATGTTTTTTGAGTGATCCAGGATGAAGAATTATTGTCTGCAACCTTGAAACATTTCTAGTCTCTCACTAGTCTACCATTACTACTATGTCAAATATTACATATCTTAGACACACCAATTAAGTCCTTCGTGGCTAGAACCTGCCATGTTCACGATGACAAATCATTCCCATTCCCTTTGTGTTCCTTTGGTAAGGAGTAAGTTCTACTCTGACAACTTCTTCCTCAAAACTGTTACTTTGTGGAAGAGACTCCCAAGTGGTTACTTCCCTGACCAGTACAATTCTGACCTCTGTAAGTCCAGGTTCAACTGATATCTATCCTATATATCCTCATAATATGCATTTTTTACTTCCTTCTGTCACTCTCACTCGGTAACTGTCTACCTTGAGTGTGCCTTGTTTGGATCAGTTATAACAAATTTGGTATATGAGAAAATTGAATGTAGAATAGTCTGGGCAAAACCAAAACATTAACATGAAAACATGAGTCATGTTTTTAAATAGCTTTGTCAAATAAAAAATTTCACATGGCATCATGCATAGTACAAGACCTGTTCAAAAATATCTAAACTGTTAGCTGTACTTAACCAATGTCTAAGATCAATGGTTTAAAATAGCTTTGAGCGAGTGAATATTGTGGACTGGTATTACAAAATAACAAACAAAAAACTATACCATAACAGAAACCACAGCAGTTGAGGACTTTCAAAATAGCAACAGCTAAAATGGATAGAACATGTAACTTAAATAATGACATAATCAAGATGTTAACCCATCCTGGGTATGACGATAAACTACATCTGCGTCCAGGGTAAGACGATAAACTACGTCCAACAGTAAGGCCTCTGATCAGGAGGCTTTGAGGTGTGGAACCACTTCTTAATTGCTGGTGTTCCCAGGTCCATCCTGACCTGGGGTGGTAGCATCCATTAGGGTCCCAGATATAGGCAAATAGTTAACCCCGAAACTGGGGTAAAAAGCATTATAAAAGTGTAAAAATAGGTTTTAATACCAGAAATACTTTGTAAAAAATTATTACCAGAAATAAATTTTTGAAGGAAATGAATATTACCAGCAATACGTTTTTGGAAAAATATTGCCAGCTATATGTTTTTGAAAAAATAATATTACCAGCTATAAGTTTTTGAAAAAATATTACCAACTATACGTTTTTGAAAAAATAATATTACCAACTATACATTTTTGAGGAAAAAAATATAAACAAAAATAAATTTTTGACAAAAAAAATATTACCAAGAAAAAAGTTGTCGGCATTAAATGACCCAGTGAGGTTGATATGCCATAAAACAAACCAAACCAAGACGTTAACACCTACTTGAAATAAAAGGTTAGACAGGAAAGACCCATCAATACTAGAATGAGCGATAACAGCCTCTGGAAAAAATACTTTCCTGAAAAATTGTTTTAAGAGAAAGATTTTATAGATTTCACCTGAAAGCACCATTACTGGCTGCTAGGGTAATGAATGTCCAATGTTTTCTAGTAAATAAATTTCTAATATAGACCATTACCATTGGGTGAACTAAAATTAAAAAATAAAAATAAAGTATATTATTAAGTTAAGCTAAGTATATAAGTACTTGTAGTCTATGAAATCTGGGTAAACATTAGTTTACTATATACAAATTTGCATCTAAGACTGTGGAGTTATTTTTGTGCCATTTTTGTTTTTAAAAGCATGTCCTTCAAATACTGTTAATTTGATCTTGAGAAAATTTTCTTCTTTCTTTCTTTCCCTCCTTAACATTATTTCTCTTTTTCTTTAATTATTTTTGTCTTTATCATCTAAAGCCTTATTCTCTCACACTTTCATATTCTCAACTTCAGCCTTTTCTACTACTACCTAATGTTGCCATGCTCTGAATTCTTTCTCACCCCCAACAACCGCCATTATCTTTTAAACTCTTCCCAAAACAAAGAAAAGCTGTCAGAAAACAACATATACACAGGATCTGTATTTTTATCCTCATTTACTCTTAAGGGGTCATTTACACCATGAACTTTCTGACCTATTTTTAAAGACTTTTATCTCAAACTTCACCTGACATTTGACTGACTATTTCCTTTTGAAGGGGGGAGAGAGAGAGAGAGAGAGAGAGACATATACACACACACAGCTGTTTTTCAAAAACAGAAAAATAGGTATTTTCTAAATTTCTATAGATATATTGTAATCATTGTATATGTTTGGCTTGAACTAATTTCCTTATCTTGGTTGTATGCTTTTTGCTTTTTTTTTTTTTTCTCTCACAAAATCTCAGCAGTCAGTTATGTTTTGGAATGTTGTCAAATTTTGTTCGGAGAAAGCATGCACATTCCTCATACATGTCATGCCTGGTGCTTATGTCTGAACCAAGAACATACAAGAATGAAAACATCTTGTTTAACAAAATTCAGGCAATCTTGTGTTTTATTGTTTATTATATTTTTTTTTCTATTGTAGAAATATTTTATGCTCTGTAACAAATATCCAGCTTTTGATGAAAATTAAACAAATTAAATGCTGATAACCTGTTGAAAGGATATAAGGATAGATACAAATGGATATAGGAACCAGCTTTGTTTTCTTTTTTACAATGATGTTCACTCTACACAAAGCCCAAGAGCCACTCAAGGTAGAGGATTACAAAGAGGCACAGGAGATGAGTGGGGAAAATATTGGTTGATCCTAGATTTGAACATGTTAGTATTGTAGTAATCAGGGAAGGATCCTCTTAGGAGTCAGTCCTACAAAGCAGCAGTTTGTGAGAAGCTTGTCAAGTGAAACTTATAACTCACCAATAGAATATGAAGAGAATGAGGGTGGTTCACTACAATGGGTGTGGCATGGCGGGTCTTAACCATGAAGGTTAGAACTGGTGGAACTAAGAAATGTTCTTTGGCTGAAGACTTTCCATTAAACTAGGTGATAGAATAGTGAAAGGCTTGTGACATTTCATCTGTGAGAAAGAGGTTGTAGGGTGAAGGAAAGAAAGATATGAATAGACATAAGATGGGCTGAGATAAAGAAAAGAAAAATTCAGACATTGGAATGAGTTGAGATAGTCAAAAAGATATGAAGAGACATAGAAACAATCAGAGTTGTAAAAAGGAACAATATGATCAGACATAGGAAAGAGCTGAGATGCAGAAAAGAAAGATAGGATAGCAAACAGAAATGAGCTTAAATATATGAAAAGAAAGATAGGATCAGACACAGAAATGAGCTGAGATATGGAAAAAAGTTAGGATCAGACATTAGAACAAGCTTAGATATAAAAAAAAGATAGAATTGGACACAGGAATGAGCTTAGATATGGAAAAAAGTTAGGAACGGACACAGGAACAAGCTTAGATATAGAAAAAGTTAGGATCAGACACAGGAAGGAGCTTTGAATTTAAAAAAAAGGTAGGATCAAACACAGGAATGAGCTTACATATGGAAAAAAGATAGGATCAGACACAGGAACGAGCTTAGATATAGGAAAAAACACAGGATTGAATACAGAAACAAGCTTAAATATAGAAAAAACATTAGGATCAGACACAGGAATGAGCATAAATATGGAAAAAGATAGGTTTGGACACAGGAATGAGCTTAGATACAGAAAAAAGATAACATTGAAGGCAGGAACAAGCTTAAATATAGAAAAAATATAGGATCGGACACAAGAATGAGCTTAGTTATAGAAAAAGTTAGAATCGGACACAAGAACGAGTTTTGATATAAAAAATAAAGATAGTATCAGATGCAGATAAATATAGAAAAAAACATAGGATCAAACTCAAGAACAAGCTTATATATAGAAAAAATGATAGGTTCAGACAGAAACCAGTTGAAACATGGAAAAGAAAGATACAAACAGATATAGAAACAAACTGTTCCAAAATCTATTCATATCTTTCTATATCTAAGATAGAGATATAAACAGAAATAAGAACAAGCCGAGAGAGAAGGAAAGCTCAATACACGACACAGAATAAGAGAGACTGATGGAAAGGTAGATAGACAAATATATACAAAGAGAGATTGAAAATCAGTATATATTCAGCATAATGTTCCTCTAGAGGGAAAGACATTCCTAATAAAATCCTTAAGCAATAATATTTACTCAGTTTTTTTAGGTGAAAGTGTGTATTATATAAAACTAGTTTGATTGATTGATTCATTCATTCATTTTATTCATCTTATCAACCCTTTGCAAGTTATTTAAAACCAGAAAATATTTTTATATTGTAAGAATGTTTTTTCTTGAGAAAATAATGATTTATTGATACAAGCCTTACTAATTAACCCATAGTTGGAGGAAGAAAAGGAAGATTCACACCTTTCCCAAGGATGTTTGTGTGTAAGTGAATATAACAAACCCAATTGTAATTGGGATTCAGCTCTCCAATTAACAATTATGGGCCATTATCCTTTGCACCATTACACCACCTGTACATCCAAATTTACAGCACCTGATATTACCAAGCAGTATCCCGTCTGTCCAGATTTGTTGTTGATTAAATTCAGTGTTCGTATGGGGAAAGCCCTTATCTAGTAATTTCACTTGAGAAAAATATGACTCAAAATGAATTTAAAAAAAAAAAAACACAAGAAAACTAAGAAAAAAACTAGTAAAAACTTAATAATAGGAATGCTTCATCTAAAATAATATTTGGCCAAATGCTCAGAGGTGGAACTAAAAAACAATATGATATGGAGTAAAAATTTAGATAAGAAAAATGTAGCTGTAGTTTAAATTTAGTCATGCAGCTTCAATCTTCTTATCTCAAATTTCGTATGAGTTGTAAGACACTGGTCCAGTAAGATAAGTATATAAAAGTAAATATAAAATGAACAAAAAGGCAACAAAAATAAGATGGAAGAAATCCAGAGTGTCAGGTGTAAAATTATAGCAAGTGTGGATGCCCTCTGGTTATAAGAGTAAACAGATATAGCAACAAACTGAGAGAAGTCATTAAAATATTTATGTAAATATGCTTGTTCAATATATATGGTCACATGGCTGAGTGGTTAGACTATGAAACCCAGATTTGAATCTCACTATGGTCAATTTGTCAAGAAGGTAACTTCTTGATGTTATCAGCCTGGGGGAGGTGATCCCATCATGCGGCAACTTTGAAAAATGCCTGAAAACCATACCTTGGTTTGACCAAAGCCTCGTAAGTGAAATTGGGTCGCTGGAATAATTTAAGAGCTGTTGATGATTGTGCTAGCATGAAGTCACAAGTCATCAGGACCGAGGGTTTGAGCATGCTGGCCATGTTCAAACTGTTGATCAAACCAAATAATGCACTCTCTCTGAAAAAGCTGCAACTAAGGTCCACTCAGCATTGTTACAGTATAAACCACAGGTGAGCTCTGTGAATACTGAACAAACAAATGTGCCTGAGCAGGTGTCTGCAACAGTGTTTGGTTAGCTGCACTAGTAAACAGGCATACTTGGATACGAGCAGCAAGCCATTAAACGTATATATGACAATTTAGAAAGTTTTCATTTTAACATGCTTTGCTGATCAAATCATTAGAAAATGGCTTTTATTTCAATCAGATCTACATTAACAAATGTGAATGTGATTTAAATTAATCATATGAATAAAAATTCTTTATTTTAATTGTATATTTTTTAATTAGATTTAATAATTTTAATTCAGTTTTTGTTTAAATAATTTAAAATCCCTTTTATGTTCATATAGTTTTTTCTTTGTATTCAGTCCCTGTCCCATGATCGTAACATAGCTTCCCTGTATTTATTCTATAAATATTTTCATGGTAATTGTTCTAATGTACTTTCTTCATTGTGGTTTCATTGTTAAATTTTGTTATTTTTATGCCCCCCCTCCGGACAAATTGTACATTTGAAACTAGTTAAGACTATATAGAGACTTTGAGGTATTATGGTGGTTGTACTGTAGTAAGAATGTGTTTTGATGTAGGCAATACTGTCTTGTTTTAGTTCAGTAATTGTGGTTTAAAAGAAATATTACTTTCCTTTTCGGCACCTTGGCTTTACAAATGCAAGCATACTACAAGATATGATCCTTTTACTGTTGAAATGGCTAGATGTAAGTTCTATGCAGATAGTTTCTTCTATTACACTTCTCACTTGTGGAACTCACTTCTGGCTTCTTTCTTCAGTCAACTTTGATCATCAAAAAATTTAAAGTAATGTCAATACTTCTGCCTTTTTAATTCTTATTCTTTTATTGTCTTCTCTCCTTTATAGTAGTTTTTCTCATGTTCTCTAACACACTTGCATCCTAGTGGCTTTTTTGCCTTGCTTGGGGTGAAATGATAAAAAATAAATTTTAGAATGTTAATATATATTGAAGATTTACCCATGACTTGTTTTCTCTCTTTTTTGTGATCTTTTTTCTGTCTGTTGTTGTCCATTAACTCTTGTACTATTTACCCTGACTCACACCAGACAGTAAATATTGTTTACAGAACAGATAATTCAAGAATCTTTTAAATGATCCTTTACTTCATTCTCCTCTTGACACAGTCTTGCTTTTTCAGCACTTGGAAGAAAATTCCAAGCAAATAGAGATTGCAAGAAATTCTTAATGTTTCTACATAAGCAATTTGTCATGTTAAATACATGAAACATAAGCTCCAGCATACTTATCTTAAGGCGATGATGGGCTTTGGAAGCACATTTCATAAGAAATACAACTCGAAAGAAGACTAAAGAAAAACAAAAATCCCCTCAAAAGTTAATTTAAAATAAAGCTCTGTTCATTATGGCTGTGGCATGGAGACTATCAGGACATGACTTAATCAACTACATTTGGATTTTAAGAAAGAAAAGATAATGTCAAATTGTCTATAAAATCCACTTGCTATTGGTAAGAAAATATGGTAGACTTTGTGAATGCATAAACATGTCTTTCTGATTTTTTTTTTCATTTATGTTAGGATACAAGAGATAAGTGTTGTCACTTTTTATGTTTGTCTTTAATGTTTAGATTAGAGATATGTTCAGCAGAGATAAAACTTTGCTAAATCTGAGATGCAATTGTTGAAAATCAGAATGTAGGGACTAGAACTTTCTGATAAATGCAGAAGTTTCATTCTTTATCAACAGTATTTTTTTCCCCTGTCCTCACCTGCAAAAAAAAAAAAATTGTTGCTGAAATGATTCTAAGATTTTCTACAAATCATGATCAAAATTTGTTTTTTAAATCCTGAAATCCTTAAGAGTTCATCAATCTCAAGTTACAAGTTGGAGACACTAAAATCAAGCAAGTACCAAAATTTAAATATTTGGGAAGTGTTTTAACAGAAGACAAAAGATGTGACACTAAAAATCCGAAGATGTCTTGGAACAGTGAAAGCTGACATGTATTAAGAAACAGAAAAATTTTGTTAGAAACAAAGAAAAGAGTACTGAATTGTTATGTAATACCAGACCTCCTAAATGGCAGTGAAAACTGGACTATCTTCTCACAGATGAAGAAAAGATTTGAGGCCATAAAAATGTGGTTGTACAGAAGGATCCTGAGAATGGACTAAAAATGTGAGCAACGACAAAGTTTTAGAGAAAATTGAAACAAAAAGGGCACATATACTTAACAACAGGAAGAGACAGTACAAATTTCTAGAGCTCATAATAAGGAAAGTGGGCTTGGAGAATTTGAAACTGACAGGACATACTGATGTCAGAGAAAAGCAGTGCACAACCTATTTATGGAGCTTGTGTAAATGGTTGGCAAGGAAGAGATTAGAAGAGACAGCAAAAAGAGGAACTTTACTAAGAGATACGGGAAAGAGAAATTGTAGAGAGCCATAATTACCCATGTCTTGAAGGGGCATGGCAAATAAAGCAAGAAGAAATCTTTAAACTAAAATTTTCAAGATAGCTTCTGTCACTTCTTGTCTATAAAAAATAATTTGAGTGCTATATTAGCTGAATGAGTCAGTGTAATTTTATCTTCTGTTGTCTTAATTCCTGTTCTTTTATTGTTCTCTCTCCTTAATAATGTTTTTCTTTTTCTCTTATTCTTTCACACTCATACAGCTAAAAGAAAGTCTTGTTTGCATTGGCTTGATGATCCTGACTGCAGTCAACAAATGATTATGAAATCATTTTATTCTTGTGTTACATGCAACTCTAAGCCTCTTTGCTTTCTGTGGTAGTTCACTATAATTCTATTGTCACACATTTTTCTGTAGAATACCATATGCAACTTAGCTAAGTGAAGTCTTGGACAACTTCTAGCTTTGTTACACTGTGAGAGGAATGGAAGTCAGATGATATTTCGGCTTGATACAACTTGATGATGAATCTCAAAAATATTTTTGGTCTTTATCTGCTGGAAGATTGCATCTGTGCAAGTGATTAGAATCTGAAAACAGGATGTTTGACCATCTGTATGCAGGTTTTTCATGTGTACCTGGAGTTGTGTTGATTTGAACAGGTTGCTGTTTTTATATATTTGGATACAGAAATTGTCTGTCACCCATGTCCTGCAAAGGATGTTTTAAAGGATATTAAAAATATGGCAATAGTTGAGTGGATTAAAGCTTAGTTCATGAATTTGGTGACATAGT